GCTAACTTCGTAATAAAAAAGGTCAACTGATACGCAACTGCATAATATGTAATATATTTGTCTTTTTTTTATTGTGACAGGATTGTATCATCGAATCTGCAAAAGTTCTTGTTTCACAGTTATTAATTTAATTAGAATCTTCGTAATAGCATAATTCCATATTTGGATACTATTCTACAGGGTGATCCAAAAATGTTGTTATTGTTTGAAGGAGGGTGATTCTTGAGGTGATTTAATACAATCTTTTTCTTTGCAAAAATATCCTGCGCGACTTCGTTAACGAATTAATAAGGAAAAACACGGACTAAAGTGTACGCTCACTTTTATGAGTAATTGTATTCAATACTAAGTTCATAACTAAATAATGTATTTCCACCAAAACTAAAGAGCAAAGCAGATAAGTTTGTTTAATCCTTATATATCTAATAATTAGTAATTAATATCGATATTCTATCAATCTTTGGTCGAAACGTGAAATAGCCTGAACGAAACGTCGAGCAAAAACAGCTCGGCAGAGAACGTGTTTTATCAAAATCGATCAGGTGTGAACCTTTTGTGCAGAATTTATCCAAGAACAATCTTCTGTTTTCCAGCTGCTGGAAGAGTACAGGAATTCGGACGACGGTAAGCTGAACCCTTTGGTCCGCTTGTTGAAGGACTCGCCGAGTCCTTAAGCGTATCGCAGCACGGTTTAGTCCGTTTAAGTTATTCTTCGAATCTGTTCGTTGCACCATCCTGGATTATCCTGGGTGTCGTTAAACCACAGGACCATTACTTATCATTCTGTTCGTCGAGTCGATGGCCGAGCATGAGAGAAAATTGTTGTTAGGTACGTCCATCGTCCAATTGAGAAAGCTGCGGCATCCACCGTCGAGGCTGGCACTCGACGCCGAATCGTCCACACAAAACGTGTCCCGAATTTTTGACAGACGGGCGCGCGTACACGGTCGAGATTGGCGAAGAACGCTTGGTACAAATTGTCTGCCCTCTCGCACCTCTTTCGAGCATGATCAATCGAAGGGTTTTTTTGCAGCGAGCGATAGGCGCGGAGAACGTTCGTCCGAGTGCTTGTTGCGTAAGGTTTGAACACGTTGCCGACAATTGTCGATCGAATGGTCACGAATTATCGCTAGCATCGTTCATATATCGAGAACCAATTAAATTCATCGGTGGATCTGTCTCAAATAAAGCACCGGTACAAGTATCATCATTTGTATGTAATTTGTCATTCTGATAGATTCGTAGGATAGTTTAAATTCACGCTGTTGGGACCTGTATACCGTGGCGCGTATAATTACAGGCTCTCGAAGCAACTTTTCCATTTTTAGCGGTATTTAAAGAAGAATTTAATCATTTCGAAATCGATGCAGACAACTTTTATTTCGTAGGAAAATCCGCAGTCTGCTCGTTATTATGCACACGCGAAACGAAGTTTTTCTATGCACTGGAAATGGTATTCGTCGTTGCCACGACTTACAATAAGCTCGGCTCATTATTAGACCATGAAATGGATAGCATTCTCCTTCCTATTCAGCCTTTAATTGCTTTAACTCCATTAAGTGTGTTCTTTGTCATACTTTTCTGCCTTCGAACGTGCCTTATGAATGTTTCATAACCATTTTCGTTAACTATTATTTTTTCTTTCTCCCTCTCCCCGCTCCTTCTCTCTCTCTATTAATTTCTTCGTTTATTTTGTTAGTGATATATTGTATCCGATTGTTTTCTCATTTTGTAAGTTTACGTATACTGTTCGAATTCATTCTTGTAACAACAGTGATGCTGAATCTCGTCCATTCGTCCCTGTATGTGATGCAATAATATTGTTGTATTTTATTTTTTTCTGTTGTTATTATTATTATTCTCATTATTATTAGTATTATTATCATTATTATTATTATTATTATCATTATTATTATTATTATTATTATTACTATTTACAAAACTATATTTACAATATTTTGTTTCGTCTTTTTGAGTAGTTTATACTTATATTTTTGCTTCCTAAAAGGTCATTTACAACACCGCATTGGCATCGCAAATTGTTCCGATTGTTTTACAATCTGCTTCTTTAATACTAATTTTTCGAGTTGACTTCGCTTCATCGATATTTCAACGATACCATCGATAATTTTTGTTGCCTCAACAGCATATTCAATAAATCGTACGGTATTCGAATAGCGGTAAGGACTTGAAGATATTTTTCTATCGATGTAATAATTAACGATACCGTAGTTGTCTCTTTAATTATTTCTTGCGTTTTCACGGATTGGCCCTCGAGTCCCCGAAAAACAAAAACCCTGGCCGACTGTTTCGGGGCCATTTCGTTATTCTAGTCATCGGAGAATGGCATTCGGTTTAAGAGTATGATGCATACAACTGATCCATACTATGATCGACTATAATTAAAGAAAATAATTTACATTCGTAGCTTTACTATTTCATGATCGGAAACGTATACGTGATCGTAAATACGATCGGAAAAACGACGCGCAATCCTTTCGTAGATACGATCGGAACATAATGAATAATCTTCATGTAAATACGATCAGAAAATAATGAACAATCTTTTCGTAAACACGATCGGATGATAATGAATAATCTTCATCGCGAACATGATTAGAGAATAAACGTGACCCTTTTCGTAAACGTGACCCTAAAACGAGTTATACAAAAGTGTTATACAAAATATCTATTTTATATACTATATTTATAAGTATTCGATGCTTAGATAATCGTTTCAGTTGTACATTCATTTGTAACCAAATTCCTCCGCGACTCTTAAATAAGAAAGGAAAATACCGATCTGCAATTGATTGTCAACATTTTTCAAGCGCAATGGCTCAAACTAATACTAAACAATACATTTCTCGCCTTTATTCGGATAGTCTTTAAGGTTTGGTAAAGGCGATTGGGTAATTTTCAGAATATAAAATAGATTAGACTAATCGGTTAGGACTAATTGCAACGTAAGTTTTTCGATGTCGTGAAAGATTCTCCACTCTTTTTACGCGCCGGCGGAACAAGACGTTCGCTGCTCGTTGAGAAAATGGAGAATATATTTTAAACAGAGATGAGGTAGTTTCGCTAAAGGATTTAACGGTAGCAATCGGTAAATTTAATAAGTAATTTGTAACATGACGGAGATAGACAAAAATTTCGTACGTCCAGGCTGCAGTTAACTTGCGGATGCAGCAAACGTATCCGAAATATTTGTAACTTCGCGACGACGATTGACTTCCGTCTCTTTAATAACAACAAGTCCGATCGAAACCCGTAGCTTCGTAGGTAATTACACTTAGATCATGTTGATACATTTTGTACAAATTCGTGTTGCAAGCAGTGTTCACGGAGCACAGCTTAAGAAACACGCGAGAGCGGCTCGTAGGAATCGTTGAATTACACGTTCGACGATCATGTTTCTTGCTCGAACTACTGCAACCGACAGGTTCATTTGAGCCGTTTACTTTGAAAGTGGCATAAGTCGCTTTGTTTTTTAAGTCGATATATTTAAGGATTTGCGTTTTAACACTTTATCGTCCGGTCGTGGTTGAGGCTGCCACTCAGTAAGGACTGGCTTAGTCGCGCGCGCATTTGCTCCCAGTACCGGCTAAATTTTCGCTATTCATTGTGTTGTGCTTATTCCTTTAAAAATAATAATAAATAATAATAATTATTATAATTATAATTCATAATGATATGGAGAGGTCAGCATACAGGAGGTCAGCTACTAACAAAACAGTAAAGAAGCGAAAACCGTCGATAGCTAAAAGTCGATTAATAGGCTATCGGTCGATAAGCATTGGCAATCGAAAAGCCGATTAATAGGCTAGCGATCGATAAACATTGGCAATCGAAAAGCCGATTAATAGGCTAGCGATCGATAAACATTGGCAATCGAAAAGCCGATTAATAGGCTAGCGGTCGATAAAGTGTTAACACGTTTCAAAATATGGATGCTGACTTTCGAGATGATTTACTTGTATTCGTTATCTCAGGATACTGATGTTTTTCTCAGTATAAATAATTTCGTATAAACATGAGAAAAATCACCAAAGTGACTTATGCCACTTTCAAAATAAACGGCTCGTTTGTTTCTGTACAAAAACTCTTCGATTCCCCTTCGATCTCGTGATGGACGCACGTAAAAAACAATTTTCGCCGAAATCGAAGATTGTAAGTTATTTAGCGAGCTTGATACAAAATTGATTGCTATTGTCCGCAAAGACTATGTTCAGCCAACGCGGCCGTGTTGCGTTCTCGACTTTGTGTGAGAAAAATCGATCGCCGCCGTGCCACAGACGCTGACTGACCAAGTACGTACTTCAATACGTTCTAATCAATTATGTGTTTCCATAGGTTCGAAATAATTGATCGATCATAGAAAACTGTGTGTGTGTGTGTATGGTGCTCTTCAGGCAATTCAGGAAATGTTCATAGAGGACATCGGTATATTTTAATCTGAACATTTTTATCACACTTTTGTCATAGCAGTCGAATCTTTTCAGTTTCATTCATTGAAAAACGTCGAACCATGACACTTCGCGTAATTGTTTAATAATAATATTAATAATAATAATAATATAATTAATATTATTAATATTAATATTAATAATAATAATAATAATAATATAATTAATATTATTAATATTAATATTAATAATAATATAATTAATATTATTAATATTATTAATATTAATATAATTAATATAATTAATATTAATAATAATAATAATATTAATATTAGTAACTAGACTGCGGATCTTAATTGCAAAAATAAAACTTGTCTTCATCAATATCAATAAACATGTGTCAAGTAGAAATTTCTTTCCGCAGTAATTACAGCGAGTTGAAAATAATAATAATATTATTATTATTAATAAATTAATATTTTCATCGTCATAAATTTGATTTTCCCGTTTTCTCATAAACGCATAAAATCCACAGTTTGATAACAATCATTCGACATTTTCCTTCATTACACACACACACAAGCACTTTTCTGTTCTCGTTAATCATAAAACAAGAAACTCGTAACGCGTAACAATTAACTCATCCAGTTGTCGCTACGATTTAGTTCGTAACGTGCTTGGACAGTTTCGAACGTGGTTCGCGCGAATTTTAAATTATTCTTGTACCGATCCGTTCGTTCTCGTATCCGTCATCTCGTGTTCACGCGTGCCAATTGTTTGTGCAAAGAACGGTGTCTTTGGAACGGGCCTTCAAACGTTTGTAACTGTCGCGTAATGAGTGAGTTGTAAGCTTTTGTAACAATGCTGGCTGTGAATCAGGGCCACTGAACAATTTTCGTCCAGTTTCGTGTACCACGTTGCGTGTGCTGGAAGGACACAGTGAGAAAAAATCTACCTGAACTCCAGGGATTCTGCTGGACGGCATTGTTTTATGTCGGATCCCCGCGTAAGCCTTTGTCGTCAGATCTTGGCTACCATTTTATAGGCATTCGTCTGTGGTCGCATGAGAAATGGTTCGAAAGCAATCCTACCAAACTGCTTATTCTGCTAAACATTCTTAGGCTACTGAATCTTTTATTCGTATTCGTGCAAAACAAAGGACATTGATACGTTTCAATTGTTCAATATTGTTCGGCATTGTTTGATAATGTCGGAGTTAAATAATTTTTCCCTTTGCTACGTGTCCAAGCAACAATTCTAATTATTACCTTCGTCTTTCAGTGTTTCAATATTTCTTACATCAAGATGATCAATTGTTTGCTTTTGTCGACTTATTTTTTTTAAATGGCAGATATACAAATGCAATTTACTACAAAACGCAATGTGAATTAGTGGTCTACGCTGTAATAGAGTTCGCGTTCTAATCTATATTTACGTGTAAACACGCACCGATTAACTCGATTAATTCGAATACCTAACAATTATTCAATAATCTTGCACACCGTTATCTTGATTGCAAAAATAGACGCGATGCGTTCGATTTCATTCTAAACGCTTCTTTAAAACCAGAACTATCGACCAACGTGTATTATTTTATAACAATGACGAGGATTCGAGATGCGCAAACTATGATAATACATCGTTGAATAAAGAAGTTTATCTAAAAATTTCTCATAGAAATTTTTTTCGATTTCTTCTTTAGAGATTTTTTATTTTTTCTTCGTAATATCTCGAACTTCATTGTAACAACGATGTCGCAGGAACATCTAGTTCTGTTGTTTCTTTTTCATAATTTTAATTGTACATCATGATTTCCAACGTTTACTTAAAACATCAGAGAAAATTCAATGTCTTGAAATCTCTTATTCGATAATAATTTAATTATTCGAGAATTTAATAATAAAAATGGACTCTCTCTCTCTCTCTCTCTCTCTCTCTCTCTCTCTCTCACNAGACTCTCTCTCTCTCTCTCTCTCTCTCTCTCTCTCTCTCTCACGAGATATCAGCAACTATAAGGACGAGTCGCGAGACTCGAAGAATCGCGATTCTTTCGCGATTCTCCGATTACAGTAATGTCTCCCTAATTGTCGCCCAAATTGTGCACTAAAATAGACAATTTGGGAGAAGGAGATGCGATTATTCAAGTCTTGCGGCTCGTTTCTTATAATTACCGATTGTCAATAACCATAAAAACGAGCCGCAAGGCTCGAACAATCGTATCTCCTCTCCCCAAATTGTCCACTTTTGCGGACAATCCGAGCGTCAATTAGGGAGACATTATTGTACAGCGAAGCGTACAGATTCGAATAAGAAAGATTCAGCAGCGTATTCCAGCGAACCGGGGTAAAAATTTGTCGCGGTGAACGCGGACTCGATTTCATTGGTCTAAATGGAACCAACATGGCGGCACGTTCGAATCAAGGTAGGC